TATATATATATATATATATATACTACACATTTACAAGAATAAAATCACAATGACAAACATTCAATTAGAAATGACAAATGTTTGCACATAAATCTTTGAAAAGTATGAAGTGTTTTAACAAAATGTGCTGGAACGCAGATTAAAGAAAAAAACAAAACGTGATGGGCTAGCAGCCCCGATTAAACAAACAATAACTGAATATTTGCAGAAATTAAATAAATCAGACCATAATCTGATCACCTTATCTTTATTTAAAGAAAAGCCTTCATTATGATCTCTGTTGCCCATCTCTTTAGTTTCATGTTACCTCCTGGGCTTGATCTCATGTAAACTCTGGGACAAACTCAGGTCCCCCTCCCTGAGTAAATAAATAACCATCTGAAGGATTAGTTGGGATATCTGTAACCCGGGGTGGCAGGGGTCACTCTGTCTCCAGGCTGTAGACAGCTATGGTCTCGCTGTTTAATCTGGTTAAATGGTCAATGTGCCAGTTCTCAATGCACTTCCATAGAAAGGGCTTCCACATGCCCACCCCCTGCCTGCAGGGGTCTGCTCTTGGCTCTGTGGAGACTCCACGTTTCCTGCAGTTGGGGAGGGGTTTACTGAAGGCTGCCTGGCAGACACGACAGGGTTCAGATGGGTGCCCATCAGAGTACTTCATAGGGGTACACTGGGGTGTTAACTATTTGACAGAACATCACTTCAGAAATGGCAGGACTATCCCTTTTAAGTTAGTAACAAGTATGAAGTTTAATAAAAAGTACGAGATTGGACCTTCTGTGTCTTGTTGTCCCCCCACCTGCTGTCTCCTGATGTTCCTCCATAGAGCAGCTGAAAGAGGAGAAACCCTTCTGATGCGATCATCCTGGTGTTAGACTCACAATCCGACCTGCCCCCCCTTTCTCTCCCTACAGCATAACATAATCCCATTGAAGGACCAAAGGAAGCAGCCAGAGGCCTGGGAACAAACCAGAAGAGTCCTCTGAAGGGGAAGTGGGGGTCATCAAGCTCACCGTCTCAATTACCACGGGGTACCTTACCGGCTGGAACCATGCCGTGTTCTTTCAGGGTGTCTACAGGGTCTGAAGAGAAGCTGCTTATAAAGAAACTGTCACATCTTCATGTGTCTGCTAGGCCCCCTTTACAAGGACATGGGCGGGGAAAACGCAGAGTTTTTTTAGATGTTGATTTGAGTAAAAAATCCTCATTGACACGGTCGCATTCAGTGTTTACATGCAACCAGAGAAACACCCCCCCCCCCCCCCCCCCCCGCTCCGTGTCCACTGTAGTAACCATGAAGGTCATTAGTTGGCACTGTGAATTTTGTACATTCACCTAATTCGCATGTGCGCTGCCTGGGACTGCTGTCGATAAAGACTTTCCTCTGGGCTGAAAGCCCAGGTAACAACAAAACTTAAGCCGAATTTAGGATACGAGTCAACGGATTTGATGCCAAACGGGACCGCTTTGTCTAAGGAATGCATTCACACCAGCCCTGTTGTCCTGAACTCTAGCCCGTTTGCCTAGGAAGTCCGGTTCATTTGGGGAGGTGTGAACGCAACATCGAACTGTCATGGAACAAAAAGGCAAAATCTGGCCCGCCGAAAATCCTAGGTCTCGGTCCGATAGAAGAAAACTCTAGCGCGATTCGAGTACAGTGTGAATGCAAGCAGACCGAGCATCGCTCCACAAGCAGGAAGTGGAGTACAGCACAGGGCAAACAAACACGCATTTCTCTTTCCTCATATGGAGCTGTCAGCTTGCCTTGAGTGAAAAACAACATTCTCCATGGCCTTCCACTCACGCTGAGTCCATTGTTGAAAAATGACAAAACAGAACTCCTGAAACCACTAAAATTTAACGCCACTCCATTTTTGTTCCTTCTTCTTTTAATTTATTGGCGGATTGCAAACAACTTTCAGGTGCATACCGCCACCTACTGAGCAAGAGTGTACAACTCATGACCTCTGTCCCTAAATTCTGCTTTTTATGTTAATGTTTTTCAAATATGTAACCAACGCTTTTCTGACATCTTTTATCGTGTCCTTCTCCCCTTCATTTCCTAAAATTCCTCCTAAACTCCAAGCTCTCCCTTTTCTCTTTGACTTTTCTTTTCAGTCTCTCCCTTTCTTCCGTATATTTAATGCATTCCATCAATACATGTTCCACACTTTCTGTTTCCCCACATTCCTCGCATCTATTGTTATTCCTTTTCCCCATCATGAACATTGTGTCATTAAGGAATGTGTGTCCCACCCTCAGTCTCATAATTATCACCTCCTCTCTTCTACTTCTTTCTCTAAACGTTGTTATTTTAACTGATTTTTGGATCCTGAATCATTTTCTTCCTTTCTTGTCCTCATTCCATCTCTTTTGCCATTTATTTAGTTCTTGTCTTTTAATAATTGATTTACCCTCTCCTTTCCCTAATGGAATATTAGCTGTTATTTCTCTCTTCAACGCTGCTTTGGCAAGATCATCCGCCCTTTCATTCCCTTCCACCCCCTCGTGTGCTGGCACCCAACAACATGCACATCTCTTCCTCCTCTGTGCAACCTAAATAAAGCATGTTGAATTTCTAAAATGAGCTCTTTCCTATTGTTTCCGTTTGACTTTATACTTTCTATTACCGCTTTTGAATCTGTGAATATTGCCACTGTATCTGGTCTAACCTCCTCAATCCATTCCAAACTAAAAATACCTGCTACCATCTCAGCCGTGAACACTGACAGGTGATCTGGAATTCTTTTGATAATACATACTTCAAATTCTGGTATGAAGACTCCTATTCCCACTCTTCCCTGATCGTTTTTTGATCCATCTGTATAGATTTCTAAGTAATTGTAATACGTTTCTTTAATATATCTGCTAGATTTCACCCCTATTTCATTACCTTTCCATTCTTTTTTCCATTCTAGTAATTTTTTGTCCACTTTACTTTCAGGGATTAGCCAGGGTGAAATAACACTTTTTGGATTACTCCTAGCAAATTCTATATTTTCTATCCCATACATTTCTGCTAATTTATTTATTTTTCATCCAAATCCTCTTCCTTGATATTTGTAGTACTCCCAACAGTTCTGTATTGTCATAGCTGCTGGATTTCCTTCTTTATTTCCTTTAAGTTTGATCCAGTATGATAGTGACAGTTTTATTCTTCTCAGTTCTAATGGCGTTTCCCCAGTTTCTACAAGAATTGCGTTTATGGGTGTCGTTTTAATCGCTCCTGTGCACACCCGTAGTGCTCTGGATTGTAGTCTATCTAATTTTTGAAGTTTAGATTTTGTTGCTGCTCCATAAACTATACATCCATAGTCCAGTGTTGATCTCATTAGAGCTCTGTAGATATTTAATAAAGATATTTTATCAGCTCCCCAATTATTTCCTGCCACTGCTTTCATTAAATTTATTACTTTTTTACACTTAGTTTCCATCTCATTCAGATGTGTTTGCCATGAATACGCACAGTCTAACCATATTCCTAAATATTTAAATTCATTAACCCTTTTCAGTTGTTGCCCATATAATAAGACATGACCAATATTGATCTTCTTTTTGTGTGTAATCACCATGTAGTTGGTTTTGTTTACTGACAATTTAAAACCCCATTCCTAAGACCATTTCTCTATCTGATTTATTGCTTTTCTTATACATTTAGCTATATGTGGAGCATTTCTACCCCTCATCCATATAGCTCCATCATCTGCATATAATGCAGATCTAATACCCCTATCCAGATTTGCAAACATGTCGTTAATCATTAAATTAAATAGTACTGGACTAATTACACTTCCTTGAGGAGTGCCGTTTTCTACTTTATAATCTCTTGATAGTTTACCCCCTACTTTAACTCTTATTGACCTTTCCTTCAAGAAGCTGGAGATCCAGTTGTACATCCTCCCATCTATTCCCATTTGTTCCAATTTTATAAGAAGTCCTTCTCTCCACATTGAGTCATACGCTTTTTCAATATCAAAGAATACTATTATCATAATTTCTTTCATTTTTAGAGTTTTCTCAATATCTGAACATACTCTAACTAGAGCATCCACTGTGGATCTACCTGTTCTAAATCCGCTCTGATACTTATTGATAAGTTCTCTTTTTTCAACGGTGTATAACAATCTATTAATTAGTACTTTTTCCATCAATTTACACAAGTGAGATGTCGATGCTATTGGTCTATAATTGTCTGTTTGTTGGGTCCTTCCCCGGTTTATTAAATGGTAACATGATGGCTCTGAGGTACTGATCCTTCTTCCCATATTTTGTTAAATAGTTTCAATATTATACTTAAAGTTGTTTCTGGTAGATGTTTTAACATGATATAACATATATTATCTTCTCCTGGCGTTGCATTTCTTGTGTCTTTTAATGCTATTTTAATTTCTTTCATTGTTAGTTGTTCGTCTAGTGTTGATCTTGATTTATTTTTCTTTTGTCCTACTTTCTTAAATGATTTGAGTTTTAGTTCCTTCTGCTGCCTATGCTTTTGTTCCAGATGATCCCCATTATTGATATTAACAAACGCCTCTCCCAGAGAATCCGCCTCATCTTTATTGGAAACCTTTATTTCGTTATTTTTAATTAGTGCTGGAATTTTCACTTCGCTTCTCTTTCCATTCATTTTTTTAATCATCGACCAAACCTGATTAATATTTATTTTATATCCTATTGTTGAACAGTAGTCCCTCCATGATTTCTTTTTTGCCTCCTTGATAATCCTACGAGCTATTGCTCTTTTCTTTTTGAAATCTATAAGGTTACCGCTATTCATGTTTTGCCGTAATGTTTTTAGAGCTTTATTTTT